CAATCCCTTAGGGAGTTTTTTGTTTGTTTAGTTTTTGGTGCTGATCCTGGGGCTTGAACTCAAGGCCCAGATGCTGTCCCTGAGGTTTTGTTGCTCAAGGCTGGCACGCTACCACATTGAGCCACCACTCCAATTCTGGCTTTTTTTTGTTGTTGGTGGTGGTTAATTGGACATAAGAATCTCACAGATTTTCCTGCCCAGGCTGGCTTTGAATTTCAATCCTCAGATCTTAGCCTTCTGAGTAGCTAGAATTATGGGCATGAATCTGTCCAGCTACCCCTAGGGAGTTTTATAAAGATATAATAATATGTAGAGCCATTTCCAGAGATTCTGATTTCATGGGACTAGGGTATGGTAGGAGTAATGGCTTCTTAAAAATATGAAGCTCCTAGGTGGGGCTCTCAACCCTGGCTGCCTTTATCATTCTGTATTTGTCTTTGTGCTTTACCTGCAAGTGGATCTCTATTCTATACTTTGAGCATGCCTTAAACATTTCTATCCACTGTATCCTATTAAATACATCATTCTGGTTTTTTTTTCTGCCCAGGCTGGCTTTAAACCATGAGCCTCAGATCTCAGCCACCAGAGATTGCTTCCCTTAGCATTGTTCCCTTAGCATACAGCTTAATTCATGTGCCTTTAATTCTTGCTTTGTAACTGTCAGTAGCTCAAAAAAAAAATCTCATTGGCAGAGCTGGGCTCTTGTGGCTCATGCTTTTAATCCTAGCTGCTCAGGAGGTTGAGATCTGAGGATCCTGGTTTGAAGCCAGCCTAAGCAGGAAAGCCTGTGAGATTCTTCTCTCTAGTTAAGCACCAAAGAAGAAGCAGAGCTGTGGCTCAAGCAGTAAAGTGCTTTAAAAAAAAAAAAAAAGCTCAGGGTTAGTACCAGATCCTGAGTTCAAGTTCCAGAACCAGAATTAAATAAAAAAGAAAAAAAAAGAAACAAGACCACAAACAAATCGTTCTCCTTGAAGCTAGGAAGTATTCAAGTCTTCAAAGGGTTAAAAAGACTCACAAATACACAGAGGCCTGCTTACCCCAAAGGGCTCTAGCAATACAAAATGATGGAGGGAGAGCAGCCAGATCAGTCCATCCTCCATCCTCACCACCCCTGCAACCTTCTCCAGAGGGCTTCTCTTCCCTCATTCTCCAGAGCCTTCACACCACAGTGGAAAGCCCTGCTCTGTGGAAAGAGTGAGTATGTAGACACAGGCCTGTTTTTGAGAAATCAGTCAATTGGGGGAAAAGGAAAGTCAGGTAACCAGTTTAGGAGGATCTTCCTATTCTCCCGTAACTACAGTCTGGCTCTTCAAAGCTTCTCCATCTTCAAGGGTCAGCTACAAGTGAGGCCTGACCCACCCACGGAGATCCACACAACACTGATACTTGCCACCCAAGCATTTTCCCCTAAAACCCATCTGTGAACCGGGAGTCATCAGGCTCTGGGAAAAAGGGCTCTTCAGGTATGACTGCGGCTCTTCCACACTTGATGCTGAGGTTTTAGAGTGGTTCTCAATCATGGCTTCACAGGTACATACAGAAATATTGTTGGTTGGCCAGGGTGGCTCACATCTCTAATCCCAGTTACTTGGGAGGTAGAGGTGGGAGGGCCAGCTCCGTTTGAGGCCAGCTCAGGGTAAGGGGAAGCAAGATCCCATTTCAGCCTGTTACTTGGTAAGTGGTGGCGTATGCCTGTGGTCCCAGCTACATGGGAGGCTGTAGGGAGGAGACTCTTAGGTAAAATCATGAGACCCTATCTAAAAAAATATAAAGCAAAAATAGGGTCTAGGATGTGGCTCAAGCAGCCAAGCACCTGCTTAGCTTAGTAAAGCCCTGAGTTCAGCTCTCAGTACTTTACAAGGGGAGGGAAGAGAAGAAAGGAAGGAAGAGATAGAGGAGAACAAGAAGGAGGAGCAGGAGGAGGAAAAGAATGAACAGAGAAAAGAAATATAGTTGCTTCAACCCTGTCCCAGAGATTGGACCTAGACCTCAAGCCCGTTGATTCTACTGGTATTCCTCAAGAATTTACATTCTGGATTTGCCAATCATTTATCAAGTAAAAAACCTGCTAATGGTTATAAAGCTGCTGAAGCTTCAAGCCCAAAGACCATAACAGACATAAACACCTTTGATTTGCAGGCTTCGCAGAGCATGTACTAACATAACATCAAAATCACATGGAGCTGGCTAGAAATTCAAAGCTCAGGTCCTACTCTAGAGAAATTGCTTCTCATGCAAAAGGCCTTGGGTTCTATCCCCAGAAAAGAAAAGAAGGCTGAGCTTTGGTGGTTCACAATTGTAATACTAGTTACTGAGGATGCGGAGATCTGAGGATATATGGTTCAAAGCCAGCTGGGGTTGAAAAGTTTGTGAGTCTCCAACTAACTAGCAAAAAGCCAGAAGTAGAAGTGTGGCTCAAGGGTTAAAGTGTCAGTCTTGAGCAAAAAAGCTAAGACATAGCAACCGGGCTCTGAGTTCAAGCCCCAGAACTGGCATGGGGTGGGGGAGGAAGAGAGGGAAGGGGGGAGAAGAGAGAAAGAGAGGAAAGGAAGGAAAGAGAAAGGAAAAAGAAAGGCAGGGAAATGAAAAAGTAAAGTAGGAAGATACACATACAATTGTAAATCCTTCTTTTATCCCTTTGAGATACACACATACCTCTTAAGCCCAGGGTTTTGTAAGAGCTTGGGTATCATGCCTTTGAAACAAAAATTACCAAGAAAGGCAGGGCTGACTCCCAGGCTGTGGGAGAGTAGGAGTCTAACTCATAAACATGCCAATCACACAGAGAGAGAGCCTGGTCACATTGCCCAGCCCTCAACTTCTACTTCTTTGACCCTGAGGGTCCCCCCACCCCATTACTCATTCTTCCTTCAAAATTCCCAGTCACTGCTGCACAGATCAGAGCTCTGTACTCAGTTCCATGCTGAGGACTCTCCAACTATTGCTCCTCCAGGAGAACAGTATCTCTCTACTGCCCTTTACCCTCATTTCTATTTTAATGAGATACGTATGTGATTTGCACTTACACTGAAACTGGGAAAGTACTACTTTATGTTTACTCTTCCTTCAGGAATTTCTCACAAACAGCTCTGAATGGTAGGCATGAATTTTGTGAGTTTTGTTTGTTCTGGGTGGTACTGGGATTTGAACTCAGGTTCTCTAGCTCATCTGACTTATTTGTGCGTGGCTTTTTTTTTTTTTTTCTGGCTAATTGGAGCAAAGAGTTTCACAGGTTTTCCTGCTTGGACTGGCTTGAACTGTGATCCTCAGATTTCAGTTTCCTGACTACCAAGGATTACAGGAGTGAGCTGCCCGTGTCTAGTTGAGACAGGAATTTTTACCCTCACTTTAGCAATGAGTGATGAGTACAAGAGCTTTTATTTAAGGTCACAACAAACTGCAAACTGAACTATCTCATGACTCAAGCCAGTGCCGTTTCTACAACACCATGAGACAGAGGCCACATGGCCTGTGCAGCTGTTGGGGGTGGTGGTGGTGGAAATATCTGCTCATGACCTCTATTCAGGTATCAGTGCCATGTGCTCTCAGGCATTCCCCTTTCTTCTGAACTTGCAAGAGAACTGTTTTAGATTCACTTTTAGTCACCAACTCTCTTGTGAGCTCCAAAGAACTCATTGGGAATGATCATATCAGCAGTAGCTGGACCCAAGGACCAGAGCTTCAGGGAGAGATGTCAGATCAATACGGTACAGGTACTGTAGGGTCTTGACTCAAACTGAGGAAACCCAGCCCTCCATCTAGCCACTGCCACCTGAAGCCTGACCTAGGCCTGCCTCTCCTGAACACCTACTTATTCTGCATACTTAGTTCCTACATCTTTCCTACTTTCTCAACTTGAGAGGGATCTTGCTATGTAGCCCAGGCTGGCCTCAGCCTGTGAATCTAAGTGGATCTACACTCATGTCTCCCAAACACTGGGATTCCAGTATGTACCACCACACCTACCTTAGTCTCCATTTTTGTTTCAGTAGACTCCATTTCTCCAGGCTGAGCTAGTCCTCTGAGTAAATCTTCTCCTGATTCTCTGGGTCACCCTTCTACTCCTAGGCCAAGTCAAGGTCTTGGGGGAAACTCCTTGGAGCAGAAGTCCCCTTGAGGATTTGCTCACCTTACACATGTAGGACACAATTAGAACATAACAAATTCCTGAGTGAACTGTATTTCATCTTTTATGTCCCTTTTTCTCCTGAATTACAGATTTAAACACTAAAGTCTTCTTCCAGAAAGGGTCAGACTACTAACATAAATGATGAAATGAATCTTTCTAATCATTTCTAAGTCTAAGAGTCCCTCCCTTGGGACTCTTAGACTTAGAAATACCTATGGCAAAAACTTTTATTTGGTAAATTTTATTATTATTATTACTATTACTATTATTATGTGTCAGTTCTAGGGCTTGAACTCAGGGCCTGGACACCATTCCTATGCTTCTTTTGCTCAAGGCTAGTGCTCTACCACTTGAACCACAGCTACACTTCTGGCTTTTCTGGTGGTAGTTTATTGGAGATAAAGAGTCTCATGGACTTTTCTGCCCAGGCCAGCTTTGAACCACGATGCTCAGATATCAGCCTCCTGAGTAGCTAGGATTACAGAGATGAGCTGCCAGCACTTGGCTATTACTCATTTTTAAAGAAAAAACTTGCACATACAAGGTGATTTCTGATACATAATTTTATTAGAGCCAGAGATGATTACTTCTAGAAAATCAAATCTCTGAGGTTAGCAATGGCAAAACAATAAAACAAGATCTCATTTTTATAACTTTTCTTTCTTGAACTAGCTCATAACCTATCAATTCCTTATGAGTATTACCTTGACATTACATAACAAACAAGCCATTTGTGTAACAGAAAACAGGCAAGCCCAAATCCTTATATTTCCCAATCTTCAAGTCAATCATCAATTTTCCTTAGGTTTTTGTTGTTGTTGTTGTTTTTTTTTCAGTTGCTGGAGATAGAACCCCGGGCTTTGTGCATGTTAGGCAAGTACTCTGCCATTGAGCAATAGCATGGCCTCAACTTTTTGTAGATTTTAATAATGAAAATAAAATAATCTTAGATAGTAGCACTGAAACAGAATATAATTTGCAATGAGTGGCTATAGTTGGTTTTAAACCTCATACTTTCTCACTTTTACTGCAATTAGCTCTCATTAGTACATTAGATTTTTATCAGTTTTGTTTTGGGGTAATTTACCTTGCTGAGACTAAACAGGAAACTGTATTAAATACACTCCACTCCACAGCAAGAACGTGGTGTGAGTACGCTTCTCACTCTTCAGGGAGGAAACTCGACAACGCTGATGAGCCAAAGTGTGTGCCCACAGTTACCCCTGAGCCAGGAATTTTTCCTGTGATCATTTTTGCTCTGAGGCAAGAGTCTCTTGTTTTATCTTGGCAGCAGCTTCCAGAACAGAACGCAAGTCTACTTTGTCTCCAAATTCCTTTTCTCGGTGTTCGAGAAGAATGCCCTAGGGAAAAAAAAAACAAAAACAAAAAGGAAACGTCATTTCTCCTTCTGAGCCATTCATTCATGACACAGATAGTGAGCACAAGCTGTCCGCACATCAAGCCCTGTGCGCAAGCAGCAGAGAACGACAGATCTGAATCAGGCTCAACACCTGCCCTGATGAGGCCAGTCTTCTAGGGAAGGAAGATTAGAGGAAGATACATCACATGGACTACACTCTACAAACATCACTTTAGTAGCAAGCAACCAGGAACAATGATGACAAAGGGACTGGGGAAGAATTCATAGACAACAAAAGCACAGCAGGTACACAGGATATTCACAGCTAGAGATGCCAGGCACTGGTGACTCAGACTATAATCCTAGCTGGTCAGGGGGCTGAGAACTGAGCTATAATTATAGTTCAAAGCCACTTTGGGAAGAAGAATCTTCATGAAACTCTTATCTCCAATTAACCAGCAGAAAGCCAGATGTGAAGCTATGGCTCAAATGGTAGAACACCAACCTTGAGCAAAAAAACCAAGTCAAGAATGTGAGACCATGGGGCTGGGAAGGTGGCTCAGTGGTAGAGCGCTTGCCTTGCATGCATGAGGCCTTGGGTTCGATTCCTCAGCACCACCACATAAGCAAAAAGAAAAAAGCCAGAAGTGGCACTGTGGCTCAAGTGGTAGAGTACTAGCCTTGAGCTCAAGAGCTGAGGGACAGCGCCCAGGCCCAGAGTTTGGGCCCCACGACCGGACCCCCCTCCCCCCAAAAAAAGAATGTGAGACCTTGAGTTCAATCCCTAATACAGGCATACACACACAACAAAAGAGAAGAGGGTCTTCCAAGAGAAGACCCTACTAGGCATAGCTTAGAGGCTAGATTTGGCAGGTCCTGGATGACAAGCTGAGAAGGGAGACAGTGGCCTTCCTTTAGTCCTCCTAGGAAACTGAAGACCACACTTGCATACTGAGAAGTAAAATGCACTAAGACACAGAACACACCAACCTTTATCCTACAGTGGTGAAAAATAAAATAATATGCTTGAGATCAGTATCAAAGGATCCTTCTTAAAGAGTTCATTAATACGGGAGGGAAAAACTGGGAGAGAGAGAGGGAAGGGGTGACATTGTCCATAAAGAAATGCTCTCTTTACCTGACTTATGTAATTGTTACTCTTCTGTATAGCACCTTTATAATCTTTATAACAATTAAAAATTATAAAAGAAAAAAAAGTTCCTTAATCTAGAAGCTCAAATTAAATTTTAAAAAGTTGCAATATGCTGTCATTATTTATTTATTTATTATTTTATTTATTCATTTATTCAGTGCCAGTCCTGGGCTTAACTAGGGGCCTGGTGCTTTCCTTTAGATTTTTTTATTCAAGGCTGGTACTCTACAGTACACTTCTGGCTTTTATTTTTGGAGGTTCATCCGAGATAAGAGTCTCATGGACTTTCCTGCCCTAGACTGGCTTTGAACCACATCCTTAGATCTCAGCCTCCTGACTAGCTAGGATTTCAGGTGTAAGCCACCAGCACCTGGCTTTTTCTGTCATTATTTATAAAGACCTAAATAAAACAAAAACTCCCAGCACACTAGAGTGACTGAAAGTGTAGAGTTGGAAATTAGATTTCCTTGCTTAATACAGTAATCAGACAGTAAAAAACAAACTACTGAGGAGGAATGCATAATGGCAGGGGAAAATGCTCATGATACACTGCTAAGTGCAAAACAAGACTTAGTTTAGTAACATATTATTTTGGAAAAATAGAAAAAATAAAGCCAAAGTCCACTGAGCTCTGTTCCTACACCCTGTGTGGTGGCTGAGCCCACAGCATGCTCCAACACCTTCCATTGTTCTGACATTTTTCATTTTCTATAGTATACAAACACTCTGAAGCAAGTATGTTTTCCACAATCTTACCATAAAAGAAATTCCCAGACTGGGAATGTGGCTTAGTGGTAGAATGCTTGCCTCCCATGCATGAAGCCGTGGGTTTGATCCTCAATCCCATGTAAACAGAAAAAGCCAGAAGTTACGCTGTGGCTCAAATGGTAGAATACTAGCCTTGAGCAAAAAGAAGCTCAGAGACAGTACCCAGGCCTTGAGTTCAAGCCCCAGAACTGGCAAAAAAATTCCTACCAAGTGGCAACTGACACAGTGGGAATGCAAAAAAGGTTGGGACAGGTGGGTAGTTCAGGGGTGTAGCACTTGGCCTAACATGCACAAAGCTTTGGGTTCAGAGCCCACTACTTCCAATAAAAAATCCCAGATGCTGGGCTGGGGGCATAGCTCAAGTAGGAGAGTATTTACCTAATAGGTACAAGGCCCTGGGTTTCATGCCAGTACCAAGCCCCTCCCTCTAACAAAAATATATACTAAATCCTGATAATGTACCATCCTCTAGGGAAGGGAAGATCAGACTCCAAGAAGAACCAACACAAACACCACACCTAGCAACACCATGAATGCACTAGCTGGGTCTGTGAACACCGGGTGATTCATGATGAGGCAAGAACAGGCTGCCACGGGTTCCAACTCTTGCCACAGGAGGTAGAGAAGTGCCAAGGGACCCATGGTGCCAGAGTAGAAAGGTGAGAGGTAATCTTCTAGAGAAGTAGCCTGCCCACGTATAAGGGATCTGGAAGGGATCATGGGAATCACTTGTGTGTCTATGTGTGCACCAGTCCTGGGGCTTGAACTCAGGTCCTGGGCATTGTCCTTGAGTTTTTTTGTGCTTGACTACCACTCTAACCATTTGTGCTACATCTCTACTTCAGGCTTTATGATGGTTAATGTGAGATATGAGTCTCTCAGAGTTTCCTTCCCAACCTGGCTTTGAACTGCAATCTTCAAAACTCAGCCTCCTAACTAGCTGGGATTATAGGCATGAGCCACCAGTGCCTGGCTATGGAAACCACTTTTGAAGACAATTTATGAACAGGGCAGACAAGTCTGTAGAGCAAGAGGCATAGGAATTTCTGTGCTTCTTACTAGCCCTCTCTGCCCTCCTCCAGCTCTCTGGACATCTGGAAAACAGGGCTGGAGATTGTAAACATGCAAAGTCCTGACCCCACACTAGGGCCTCCTACCCCACACAACACCCTCCATAGACCTGCAGTGAACACTCAGAATTTACCTGCTTTCCTGACCCCATCACAAAAACTCCCCCGAGGATGACACCTTCGCCTTCCAGGTTGCCTGAGAAGCCTCCATTCCAGGCCCGGAAGAAGTTGGTCCACACGCCCAGACGGATGAATCCCATAAACAACATCTTGCGCTTTTGGGGACCGTAGAACTTTTTCTATGGGGCAAGAGAGACGTTGGGTGAGTAGGCCTTGTATTCCTGCCTGTCTTCCCCGGGGGAAGGAAAGGAAGGTTTTCTGCAATGCTCTGGTTCTCAGCTATGCATGCAAGGTCTGCAGCTTCAGGTCCTCCCTGTGTGTCCCTGGAACCCCACTCAGGACCACACTCAACTGCTAGAGGAACGAGAGAGCACAGCGAGGTTTAGCTTTTTTTTTTTTCTCTTGGTACTGGGGCTTGAATGCTGGGCCCCACCCTTGCTCAGAGCTGGTAAGTTCTGCTCTCTTCCTGAGTTTTGCTCTACTTCCTGAGTCTTGCTCATTTGGAGATAAGAGTCTCACAAACTCGAGCTGGGAAGATGGCTCAGTGGTAGAGCGCTTGCCTTGCAATGCATGAGGCCCTGGGTTCGATTCCTCAGCACCACATAAGCAAAAAGAAAAAAGCTGGAAGGGCCTGTGGCTCAAG